ATTTTACTGCGAAATCTTATTGTAGTGCACAGTAAAATTTGTCTAAATACTATATTGTTCCATAATTAACATGATTTGCAGGGTAAATTAAAAAAAAAATTCTCTCCGTGTAGGAACACAGATCGTTTCCACTTGGCCCTCTTTTCAACTGCATTAAAGTTAATTTTACATGCTAATTTTACATAAAAAATGAAATAAATAAAAATTAAATAATAATTATTATTATGCAGATAAATTAAATGAAAAATGAATAAAAATGAAATAAATACGTTGGACAGTAACAAACAGATTAGAGCCACATCATTACTATTGTCTCAAGCGCAATTTTAACTTTTATTCGTGCAACAAACCAATAAAAATTATCCACAAGCAATTGCATTCTGCTGCACAAGAAAAGCGAGATCCGTTAACGTGACGACTCAATAAAAATATTTTCGCGCGCGTTCCTCCTTCAACGGGGGTTTTTTATTGTCGCGCGAAGAAGTGCTGAAAAGCTCCGTGCCTTTCGGTCTCCCTTGCCGATTCAGCGATTACCGCGTCTTAATCACAAGTTCTGACCGACGAAGACGATCGGGGGTAGAGGGAAAGGAAAACGTGCGCGCGCGCACGCGGGGTGGAGTACACACCCCGCTCTCCATAGAACTCTTCGAGGTTCGCCATTCACTTCACGGCGGATTGCGGATTCCGAGAGTTCCACCATTCGATCCGATTGCTTCTTACCCTGGACTCTCGCCGCTCGTATTTACCTCCTGATTTCTTCCCTCTCTCCCCTCCGCTCCTTCGTTCCCGTTCCCGTCGGCACCGTCGGTCTCCTCAGACCAAATCTTCCGGAAATTCCAAGGCGAACCGCGCTCGGGTGTCGACTTTATACTCGCGGCTTACGAAACTACGAATAGTGGAGTGAATTCACGCTGGATTCAGGATCGAAGCCACTTTGATTTCACTTCTTTTGTTTTTGTAAAGATCGCTCGAACGCTTTAAATCTCGTAATTGTCATTATAGTTTTGGATAATTATGTTATTCAGAATATCTAAATTATTTATCATTTGAGAGAGGAAATAAAAGGAGTATCTGAATAATTTGAAGATAAAAAGGATTTTAAGAATACATATAGATTAATTTTGATGTAATATGTGATTTAATTTTACTTTTAGC